TTCTCGTGTATAGGTGAAGGAAAGCTTACATCTGTATCATTTCTAAAGGCTCCAATCCCAGTTTCTACCATACTCTGGGATGGTAATTATTTGGCTAACACCTCCACTGAAGCCATGAGCATTTCCCATAGGTGTTTCAGCCAGGTAAAAAGAAACAATCTACGAGAAGTACAAAATCCATGCCCTGGGAGAAGGCTCCAAAATAATTTTTGGAGAAATTACAAATAGCTAAACAAATTGTCGGCCTTAATATACATGACAGAATTCCTCATCTTTCCTACCATGTCCCACACTGTGTTCTAATGAGAAGGAAGGTATTTACAAGACAACGCTTTGCTTTCCTCCATTGCAAAGTCACAGGTGGGCTTTCCTTATTTATATATATGCACCCAACACTTCCTGACTTCATATCATGCTCTTACAACTTTCCATCTGCATAATTTCTGTACATCTCCAATGCAATGGGATGATGCTCTAGCCAGCTACCATCTATGCTGAAGAACCTCTACACAGTCCCTCAAACCAGGCCAAGCTCTCAGCTAGTTAATAGCTACTAATATCTCCTCCTATCAAGCTACAGTCTCCCTAAATTGTTGGCCAAGTGGTTGTTTGGATAGCATAAACCTGATAATCCTCCACCATCATCCTGGCAGCTTGTCAGAGGGTTCCTTTCAGCACAGCAGAGAACAGCAGGCTGAAGCCCTAAGGCACTCATAGTCACAGTTGACTTAAAGGCAAGCATTTGGATTTGCATGTAATAAAAGTAACAGCCCTTGATATTTCAGCTTAAATAGGTGAAACCCAGCAGGGCCATTTGTTTCACGCATCACTGCTTGAGCTCTTGACAGCATCCTTTTCTCTTACTCTTAAAGAATGGCTCTGACAATTGAGCAAGAATCATTTGCTGCTGATGCATCAGCAGAAGGCTAAGGAAGTTATCAACAAAACCTGCAAAGAAGGTGGTTGACATATCCAGGAGCTCCCAGCATTAAAGCAGTACCTGGCTTTTAGGAACTAGCATACAGGAAAGAATACACTTTGCAATGGACACAACCAAGAGCACCAGAAAGCTTTCCCACTTTGGTTGGTTATAGGACTACAAAATAATGAAATGAAATTTTAAGGTCTTTGAGGGGGGGCAGAAATTAGCAGTACCAGCATCACCCACATTTTGAAGAAATTCTCCAGGAGTACAGTTTTCCCAAGCCATTATCTATTTCAGTTTAGCACACACTGTTCCCAAAACAGACTCTTGCTAACAATAACAGAAATAAGTAGTGGTGTTTCAGAAGGATACCTTCCCCTGCTTGTCCCCGAGGGATAAGGAATGTAAGAAGGTGGGTCTGTGGGGGGGGAAGAGAGCAGCTAGGAAAGGATTTCTCTAACACTTAACTGCTTGCAGCTGCTATCTGCACTGTACTCCATAAACAAGCCAGGCTTTGTCTCTGGCTGCATTGCTGTGCAACATCCAGCAAGAAGGGAAGCATCTCTGTCTAGACCCCCTTACAAAAGGACCTTCAGTATTTTCTGCAGGAATATTTGCACTTCTCTAAGTAAGAAAACAAGTCAGACCATTTTTCCCCCCCATGTGAGAATGAAGAAACTGTTTAAAAAGAGCACTGAAATTAAGGTAACTGAGAGAATAAACCACTTATTCACTGCCTACATGTTTTCTTAACAGAAATTTGCTTCCTTGTCCTTAGAGTTGCAAAACTGAAAGAAAGTCTTTTTTTTTTAGGACAAGGTAGATTTTTTCCTTTGTTTCTAAGGGGAAGTTTTTCAACATTGTATACCTGTCTAAAGAGCACAGGAAGATGCACTATAACAGCCATGCAAAAAGAGGAAAACAACAGTATTCGTGGTGCTGTTTATCAAGGATATTATGGGCCATATCCCAGATCTATCAGCATTTGGATCAGCATCTCTTCTCCATGGTTGTTCACCATCCATTCATTCATATCCTACCACTGTGAAGGTGCTGCCACAAGGTATCTGTCCTGTGAACAGCCCTGGTTTTCTCCACATGACAATATGAAGAGCTCTTTCAGAGAACTTGAATTCCTACTGCTGCATCTTGCAACTTGTTTGCACGTCAGCACCAAGATAGATCACCTTCCCTGTAAAACAATGAGGGCTTGAGGAAATTTGGCATTTTCCATTAAAATGCTGCTTTGGCCAGAAATTTCCAGCCAGTTTTCCTTTACACCAGACCTTTTAAAGGTAAATGACCCCGATGTGAAGGGGCTTTCCATTTCAAATCACACTCCTCATCCAATTCAAAAGTTATGTTTAACAAACCATACTATTTGCTTTCAATCCAAATCATTTATCTTTCTAAAGAGCTAGATTAGAAATAAGTTTCTTCCTATTACTATCTCAACCCATTTTTAATCTGATTTCAATTACTACTCAGTTAAAGGAAGTATACTGCTAAACATCCCTCATTTATGAAAGAAAACAGCAAAACAGTCAGCTCCTCCAAGTTACCAGTCCAAGAGCATCCTATATCTTACACACATGTAATCAGGCATGGATCAGGAGCCCCCAAAGTATCTTATTGCTATAAGGAAAGGTGAAAAAGGGAGAATGGAAGTCTTAAGTATTTGTAGATTCTCTGTGGATCATGGAAATCATGAAGGTTTGCTTGCCTTTAATCTTCAGACAAAAGTGATACTTACAGGCAGAGTTTGCTGTAAGAACAAAGGAAGGCAGCACCAATGGAAGGGCACTGAAAGAAAGACACAGCCACATATGTGCAACAATGGTTGCTTCCAAAAGAACCATAAGAAGTCATATGGCAAGAGAACCAAAGCCAATGACTCATCTGGTGTGATGCTCAGTGGTACAAATCAGCAATTAAGTTTTGCTGACTTAGAGAAGCTGGTGCATTCTGTCTAATGAGACTGCACACAGAAGTCTACTAAGTCAGCTCTCCTGAAGGCCACCAAGAGCCTGCCTGCTCCTCTGCACCCTACAGAAGGGTTTGTTGTTTTAAGAACCCCACGGAAGAGATCTGAAGTTTATGGCGGAAATAGGCATTTGCTCTCTATTACAATTAAACCATTACAGGCCCTGGTCAGCAGAACAGACACTTTAGAACCCCACTTGTCACACATCTTACAGACCAGGAAAAACAAACACCTATTAAAAAGAAAATCACTAATGCTTGCCATTCTTACAACATTTCATTTTCCCTAAAACTCCAACTTCTGCATAATCTCAGAAAGAAGAACTGAACTCACTCAACTGGTGAAGGACCTCTATGGCCATACAGCACTCCTCTCAAGAAGCCCCAGCTCCAAGAGATGCTCTCCCTTCTTTCCTTCCATGGCTGGCCCTTAAATGAGCTCAGGGTGTTTTCCCCCTAAGTCAAACCCTTTTGGCCAGCTGGCGAGCAAAGGTGCAAACACTTTGCCTGTGCCCCCTGGGCCAGACACAGCCCTTCATCAGGTGCTCCATCACCACTTCAAGCCCTGACCTAACAGTTCTCCTACAACTGCTTTAGAACAGAGTGACATAAAGCATAAAAATCACAATTCTCAGTATTGGACTGCTCTGCCAGAAATAGCTGACTTTCCTTTTGATGACTGCGTAGCTTGCAAACATCTTGAAAGGGTGTTCCATGATGAGCCGGCAATGTCACATTAAATCAGCACATAGATTTAGGCTGAGGAGTTGTAGCATCAGACTGACAGATCAAAATGTGTAGGAGGGGACTCATCTGTGGCAGCCTGTCCACTCTTCTGACACCAGACAGCTTTGCTCAGGCTGTTCACAGCCTTGTCTGGGCAAGTTATGAATGTATCCAAAGCCTCTTGTGTTATTCCAAGAAATACAAAGGGACCTCCAAGTTAATCTAGGAAGTCAGCAGAGTAAATTGGTTGACGGGAAGGCATAGGGAAATGAAGCATATATATGAAGGCAAATCTTATTCTATCACTCCTACCCCGCATAATGGTCATGAAATTGTTTTCTGACAGTTCATAGATTTGTGGACTTCCTGTGGCACGTCAGCTCTGGGCCTCCGTACTTTTATAATATGAGAATCTCCAAAGATCTCTACTGCGCCATCAACACTTTTAATTTTACCATTCATCTCAATGCATTTGGCACTTTTCTTAACAGCTCAGCTTCTAGAGACACAGAGCTGTAAGACAATGTCGACTTTTACAGTAAAAAAGCCCTGCTAGACTGTAGAGAAAAGCAGAACAGAGACCCTTACAAATTCAAAGGCCACAAGTCAAGAGCACTCCCCATTAATTTTACCCGTTCAACATGCAGTGAAAGCTGCTTTGCTACTGAGCCACATCGGATGTGTGGATTCTCAATCATTTCCCCATTAGCAAAGCTTTCATAACATCTCTCCTGGGCACATTCAGACCCGCTCACGCCTGAACTCACACTTCAATCTTTCCTTTCAGTCACAAGATCTCTCTCTCCTACTCAACGACTTATTGCCAAGATGCTTACAGGAACATAATTATCTCTGACATTTCTTCCCTGCTGGTGAAGTTGGTTGGCATTAGTCAGTGGGTTCAGAAGTTGAGGCAAGAGGAGTGTGGTCATGTAAGGGAACAAATGTTAGGCAACGCAGTTAAAACCAGCTTACCATTTGTAAACCGTGCTCACTGGTCTCAGAGACCTGACTTCTCTCTAAGTGCCTGTCCTCGTGAGGTAGCAAAGCTGTGAGCAGAGTTTATCACACAGAGTGTCAAACGTGAAACGTATTACAGTTTAACATTATGGCCTGTGTATACAGGGAGATAATGTCAAGTTCTGTGCTAGGAAGTGGGAGGCACAGAAAGCAGCTGCTGAGAGCGTGACTACTTATTTAATATATTAAGTACAGACATGCCATAAAAGCAGACATTTCCACGTACTACTGAATTAAAAAATAAATATTATGGTGATTTATTCATTGGTTTCCTGTTGCTAAAGAGATTCTTGTCCCAGCTTTCCAAGGAAGTAGCGTTTTGTAAGCAGCTATGTAAGTCTAGCTGCTGTGTCATGTTTTAAAACAAGACTTTTTTCTGGGCTCACCACCTATTTGTCTCTGCAAAAACGCTCTCCTTTTCTCTCTGCTGCTTACTGCCCTTTGTGTCTGAATGATGTTTCACTATGGGGAGTGACATAGCCTGTCCTTCCTCTGTTCACCTTACTCTTTTTTGAATAAGACTCTACTTGCTTCTGTTGAGCACCAGCTAATTAAGCTCTCTGCTTAATTTCCTGTGCTTGGAAAGTAAGGTGTTGTTACCTGGGATTGGCTCTTGATTATTTTTTTTCCTTCCAGCAATTCTATCCATCTTCACCAACTGAAAGTGGCTAGCATTTGTCCTTACCTTGACCCTGCCTTGTAACAGACAAATTCTCAAATCCCTGCTTTCAGAAACTTGTGGCAATCCCAGATCCATGAACAGAGCGATCCCATGCTGCAAGAAATGGGAATAAATCTCTCTTATTTTCAGACACATTGACTGGTTTTATACTCTTAAATATTCATCCAGCATTTAATCCAACTAAGAGTCCCTCCCTGGATTTTAGGGTTCTCTAGAGTGTTCATCTCATCCTACTGCTCTGATCTCATACTAACTTAGTCCCCCAGAGACTCATCTGATTACTCTCATTTGGACTTCTGCTCTCCCTCATCCGTGCCGTCGGAGGATTGCTATTCCATTGGTGTGGGTACATCTCTTCTGGATGATATCCACTGTTATTGAATCACTTCCTTTGTAAGAAACTCTTTTTTTAATTAGTCTTTGTAAGAAGTGATGGTAAAACATTTTACAGTACGTGATGAAGAAGGCCCACAGGAGGAAAAAAAAAATAAGGTTTTGTGGCTGTTTCTGAATGAGCTTGTGCTATTCTGCAAAGGCAACACTTAGAAATCATGTTAATGAAAATACCCAACTTCATAAAGCCAGTTTTTAAGACTTGGTGTTCAAGTGTAAATGAATGGATTCCAGCCTTAGAATAGTAAGTAGGCTGTGTAAATAGCTTCTGACCTGCTAAATTACATGGCATTGTTTTTACTGAATGATTAAAACACTCCAACACCCACAAAAAACTTCCAAAACAGCCAAGTAAATGCTTTCAGAGAGTGCCACACTTTTTCCTTTCTATATTTGACACCTGCTCGTTTTCATGAATATATCTTAAAAAATATGGCCAGACAGATGTTTGCAGAAAACAAAGAAAAAGGGTCATAAAAGCCACTGAAACAAAATCAGCCCTGCTTTGAGCTGGAGAAGTGGTTCATGATTTCCTTTAGAGAATAAAACAGATTCATCTATCTTTATCAAAGAGTTACAAGCAGTATTTGTTGCACGCTGTCTTTTGAGCAGAGTGAAGGCCAGCGTAGCTGTGCAACACCAAACTGACACTGAGGGAAGGGAGATTACAGAGAAAAGCAATAGAAAAGAAAGGCCAGAAAGCTTGCTAAAAGCAAAGATCATCATTAATGGGAAAACAAAGCAAAACAAAACGAAAATCCATTCCATTAAACATACATTCTGAGGCAGCAGTGATCACTTTGGTCTTATCGTAGCATCACAAGGCTTGAAATGGTCAACAAGAATTGTAATGCAGAGTAATTTGTAACAAGCCATAAGAAAGTCATTGCCTTGAAATATTTACTGCTTCAGAATGGAAGGTAAGAGGCACAGAAGCACCAAAGAGTTGTTGCAAAAGGTATGGGTGCAACAGCTCCCCGGTCTCTTATTTTCTTGGTGTATAACACGTGTCACTGAAGAACTGTTGGTAATTCTGAAGTCTTAAGGGCTGTCTTGTAAACCCATCAGCCCAGTATTCTTGCTGGAGATACCTTCTTTTCAATAAGGCAGCAGGAAAGAGGTAAGGAGAGGATATCCCCATACACAGGAGGGGCCTGATCTACTTGCATTCCTGTGCTTAATGGGATTAAAGTCATACAACACAATTGAGTCCAAGAATAACAACAAAATAAAGGGCTACAGAGTAGAGTGAGGACATTTTGGAAAAAAATAAATCAAACTTCAGGTTGCTCCAGGGCACCATACGTGCTCCAGCATAGGATACACAAATGGTCCCCTGCCCACAACACCAACCAGAGGTTAAAAATAATCAGTGGCTGCAGCACTGCATCATGCTGTTGTGTTGGGCAATCAGACACCTCTGTAAAAGGAACCTTTCAAAGCTATGATGCTAATTTGCACCAGTCCAGTCTGAGGGGTGAACAAAGATCACTTCAGAGAAGAGATGTCCCAGCTGAAAACAAGGAAAATGAATTCATTCCATGGCCATCATCTCCATCAAGTCCAATGTGTGCACACTGGAACAGCTCTGTGCAAACAAACTCACACCAGCTGAACACCTTGACACTAACTACCTGACTTCAATGAAAAAAAGATTGAAGGGAGCTTTGGTATTCATCTGTCTAGCACGAAAGAAATCCTTCTTTGTACCTATACACAGCAACAATCCTCCAGTATAACAACTATGGCCAACCCAGGGTTGTGTCAACAAATGACTCAGAAGAGGAGGAGGAGAGGATGGAAAAACAGGCCAAAGAAAGGCAAGACTGCTGGAAGAAAAGCAAACGAAAAACAGCAGTAAAAGCAGCTGTGTTCTGGGGGGAGAGTGCACAACTTGGAAATAAGTGAAATGAAGGAGAAATTCACCTTTCATACTTCCTAATATTTAAAACAAGCCAGTGTCACATTCTCAAAGGGGGCAGGGGAATGAAAGACGTAGTTTGGGATAATTAAGCAAGCATGGGATGATTAAGAAGTTAAAGTTTTTCTCCTTCCAATTCAAACCAACATTACCACCGCCCCAGCTCAGAGCACATTCCATCCTTATTTTTCAAATCAGCCCACTCCTGACCTGCCGGCTGCTTCCCAGAGCAGGGAATACAGCAGGTTTAGCAAGTAACCTGGCCAGGCGTCTGACCACGCACAAAATGCAACAGGAGCTGATATAACCCACACAGGTATTTACAATGAGAAGTTTTGAGGGAAGCAGCCCTATCCTGCATGTTAAAATTCGTATTCAATACAGCGTGGAATCACAGACAACCAAAGACCCTGAAAAAAAAAAATAGGGGATAGGTGTTTGTTGTCATCTGGTGTTCTCCCTGGAGATATAGAAGAAGCAATTAACAGGCATCAGGGATATAGTTGTGCAGAGAGGTGATGTTAGAGGCTTAGTACAGACCTGTGCTTGAGCTAATAGACCTGCAATCCATCTTTCATATCAGTATCTGAAAAGAGAAAGAAACAGATTCTTAAAAGGCATCCAAGCCATTGCACAGCGCTTCTGATGACTGTCACCTAATGACTGTTACACAGAACGAAATTCACTGCTGATGTAGTGTGTGCTGATGGAAAGGAATCCCATTCCTTCTCGCAGGAGGCATCATTCCAAACTTTGACTGTATCACACCATTAAAAACCCCATCACACTTGCCACAAGAGTAGGAGTGATAGCCTACAGCTCTGGCTCAGATTCAAATGGGATTTCGCCTACTTATAATTGCACTTGTGGTTTCAACCAGGAAAGTTGCTGTTTCCTTTTGTTCTCATAAGTGCTGTGTGTGTGGATGTTGTGCAGATATGCTGCTTCACTCCTCCTGAGTAATTATTTCCCTTGAATAAGTATTTCCACTGACTAATTATCCTTGTGAACAATTCAAAGCCCTCCAGCATCTCATAGGACAGAGATGTCTGATCAAAGTCCTGATAATCTGTTCCTCCAAACACTGGATTTAGTAAAGAAAAGCTTAATAAAGGAAAAAAAAAAAAAAAAAAGCAAACAAAAACTGTAAAGGACAATATGTGAAATCCACTGAATTCCTGGGGGTTTAATTTTTCATCATTCTGCTTGCTGTGGCTCCTCCACTGACACTTCTGCACAGCTCAAAATGCTGTCTGTCACCTTAAGCTTTTGCAAATCCTTCAGTCAACTGTAGGAGTGAGACATGCTCTCTTGTCCCTCACAGCCCAGTATAACCTCTGGTATGTCCTCCAAAACTGAAAGTTAGGATACACAATTCAAAGGGAGCAGGGAATGATGCTATAGGCTCTAGAGTGTAGCTTTAGAGACTGGACAAAGCATGATCTCATGGCCAGAGGTGGCTGGGGTGAGTCAGATGATGGAGGATTTATCCCCACAGGTATCCTGGTACAAAAGAATCCCACGGGGTTCCTGGAGTCCAATTCTGGAATTCTGGTCTCTACAGTGGTAGAAGTTCATAGAATCACAGAATCCTTCAGGCAGTAAAAGACCACTAAGATCACCAAGTCCAACCGTCCCCACCACACCCACTAACCATGTCAATACAACGTCTGCCCTTTTCCTGAACACTTCCAGGGATGCTGATTCCATCACCACCTTGGACATCCTGTTCCAATACCTCACCACTCTTCTGGAGAAGAAACCTTTCCTAATATCCAACCTGAATGTTCTTGCAAGTGAAAGCTGTCACCCCATGGAGGATCTGCCAACCAGTCCCTCACTCTTCATGGCTGCAATACGGAGAACGGCCAAACCAGCAGCGCTTCTGGATCTATGTTTTCAAGTCTGTTGATGGAAGAACAACATCAGCCCTCAGTATACTGACGGGAACACAGAAACAGACACAACAGGTTAGGAACATAGAGTGAATGAAAAAAAAAAAACAAACTGATTTACACAAGTGAGAAAACAATTGCCTTCTCTACCTGCCTGCCGGCAATGGATTTTTCCATGAGGCTGTGGTTCTAGGGGCTGCCAACATGTGTCTGTGAAGCTCTTCCAAAATGATTCACTGCAACTTGTTTTCAAAACACGCATATATACACAAGCACACGTACACAAGGCACTTAAAGGGCAGCTTGCATTACAAGCAGAATTGCTGCTTTTGTACAAAACTCCAAAAAGAAAGGAATCCTTGTTGGATGTTATTCCATCTGTACGCAAACTTTGCATATTTATTGGGATGTTACATCCACACTAATCAGAATGTATGGAAATAAAGCAACGCTCGTCACGTAATCTGGTTTCCACTTCTCTTCTGCCACTGCACATTATCAGCACTTCCAATGTAAATGCCCTGGTTCATTTACAAAGACTGTAAACAAATCACTTCTCTGATCTCTTTCAAAATCCAAGAGAAGGAATAGATAAGGTAGGATAAGGATTGTTTTACATAAGAGTACGTTCAGAATTTCTTCAGTCCTGAATGTTCCTCTTTCAGGGACTGACTTTAGACTGAATATTCAAATTATTCCAATTAAAACATGGTTTTCAAGATGTCAAGAATAAGACGAACCTAATTAAAAAATGTTTCTGGCCAAAAGTCACAAAAACTTTCAAGAATTTCAAGGGTGGAGTCAGAATCTACAGTGACTTTGACGTTAGATTTGAAATCTGATAGAGACAAGTTGTGATTGCTCTAGGATAAAGGGAGCCTGTGTGGTTTGGCAGCAACAACTCTAGCAAAGAACTAAGGGGTAATGGAAATTTCAGATTAAAAACAATCAACTGCTGTTGGAGAAAAAAAAAGTCTCATTTTAAGCTACATTAGTGGGGAAATGCTTATTATATAGTAGGCAACACTCGGAGGACAAGTTCCATGCTCTGCTTGATCACCGTGATGCCACCACTGCTACGGTGCTCCAGTGTTTCAACTAGTTGGCAAGAGGCTGGGAAGAGTCTCAAAGGGAGCAGTAAGAAAGCTTTAAAAGGTGATCAGGTATGAAAAATGAAGAGACTGAAGAATCTGGGTTTTATCTAAAAGGAAGAAGAAGAAATAAAAAAGAAAGAAGAAAGAAAGAAGAAAGGAAGAAGAAAGGGGTGGGGGAGAGAGGAGAGGAGAGGAGAGGAGAGGAGAGGAGAGGAGAGGAGAGGAGAGGAGAGGAGAGGAGAGGAGAGGAGAGGATAAAAAAGAGGAAAAAAAAAAAAAGAAAAAGAGAGATGTACCATGTTGCAGCACCAAAGTAGGTACAAAAACACGCTTAGGAAAACCAAGATCTTCTCCAAGGCCAACATCAACACAAAATTCTGCATAGATTTTAGTTGTGGTGGTTTAAGAAAAGCTTTCTGAGGTAAGAAGGTGCAGCCCTGAAAAGAGTTATTGAAACCATCTCCTTCACAGGAGGGCTGGAATAGCCTCCACCTCTGGTATGCAAGTTTTTTATGAATCTAAATACACTGGAGACACTGAATGCTCTTTATCTTCTGTACAGTAATCTCTTAAAAACAAACTAGCAAGTGTTTGCATACTGACACGTTAGCAGACTAAGTGGCTGACTTAAAGATCTGCAGAGCTGACATCTCCATCTTTTCTTTCACTTATTGTACCTTATGTCATTCCCACCTACAACATCCAAAACAGTTTTGATGGTTCCTTAATAGACTTTGCAGGAAATTATCTTTGCATTAACAGATTTCCTTCTCTAGTTCCCTCAATACTGTTTTTCAAGTCAGTTACAGGATAATAGAAACCTTTGTGGATATCACACTGATTTATGATCTGTGCCTTTCAGAGAAGCAGTTAAGGGCGATGCTCAGCCTGAGGTTCCTGCAAATGCACTTTTTCCCCCAGCTTGGTCTTATGTCCTAATATGTTGCAAACAATCATAGGTTTCAAAGCCCTCCTTGACTTAATATCCAAAAATGCCTTGCTGTGGAAGTATGTTTCCAAATTGCTTATATTTGTCCTTTTAATTCCCCAGATCATCTTGACAGCCTATAATATTTTTCAGATGCCATAGGTCATGCCATAGGTACCTGTACATAGGTAAGTACACTCTCTGTTAGAAGAAAATCAGACTTGTTCTCAGGAAAACTTTTCCCAAGATCTAGTTGTCTACAAATATTAGATGCAAGCTGTGTTAGAAAGTGCCCACCAGAGCAGCATGGAGCAATAATACATCTGTTAGCAGACAAAAACAAACACCTTCCTTCTGTATTTTGCAGTCATAAAATCCACTGCTTCCCGCTCAGGGTCCACTACAGCAAAAGGGAGCATTTGCTAAAAATGTCACAGCCTTAATTCTAAGTTTTGCAATCCAATATAGCAGCAATTTTATTTGGAGAGGCATCTGGATTTTATTACATTCATACACAGTTGGTAGGAGTTTGGAAGAGGAGAGAGAGAAAAAAAATGCTCTCTTTGGAATATTTCAAACCAGAAGCATTCGTCATGCTCAGCATACCCTTATAATATTACAAGGGGGCTTAGGGTGACTCTGCAGTTCACTGCAAAGCTATTGCTACCACAGTGAGTTATTGTATTTATATTTTCATTGCCTGTGGAAACTTGCAAATGGTGACAGGTGAAAAGCTTCCTTTCTTCTTTGTGGGATCGTGTATTTGCTTGAAGCCTCGCTCAGATTCCCTCTCAGCAGGAGAGACTGAAGGCTGCTTTCTAGTCATCCCCGTGCAGTTATGGACATCAGTGGAGTTTTTTCCTTATAAAAATCTTTCTTTTGGGAAACTTCCACTCTCGTGCTTGTGAAGCTATCACTCTTGTTGGCTCTTCCAGCACTTTAACAAGGCTGTGTCTTCTACAAGCCAGCGTCTGAAGTCATCTGTGGTATCTGAATGTCAAAAAGCATTACCTCTCCTAGAGATGAATCTTTTCTTTAAACATGTACCTAGTGACAGTCATAGTGAGTGTTTGCACTGGTGAGAATTTTGGCCACAAAGGGGGAGAGTTAGAGGCAGATCAGCTGTGATCACACAGCGGTGCTCAGTAGGATGCGAAGGTGTCATCTTAACAGGGGAAAGACCATTGATGCAGTCTACCTAGACTTCAGCAAAGCCTTTGCCACTGTCTCCCACATTATTCTCTTTGAGAAGCTGGCATCTCACAGCTTGGACAGGTACACTCTTTGCTGGGTAAAGAACTGGCTGATGGCCAGGCCCAGAGAATGGTGGTGGATGGAGTTACATCCTGCTGGCAACCAGTCATGAATGGTGCTCCCCAGAGCTCGGTATCGATGCCTATCCTGTTCAATATCCTTACTGATGATTTGGACGAGGGTATTGAGTTCACCCTCAGTAAGTATGGGACATTAATTTTATCTTTGTATACTTTCTGGTTTCAAATGTTATGATTTGGGAACTTTATCGAGTGCACGCAAGATTAGAGAGGTGTCGTGAATGCACTGGCATGTCCTTCCATCCCTAAAAAATGCAGTAATGCACACAGCATAAATAAATATACATAATAAATAAACAGATTCCTGAAAAAACTCAGTAGTATTGAAACCTGCCGCGTGGCACTCAAGGAAAACAGCAAATTTAATCACTTAAGATCATATTGAGGATGATTAAGCTCAGGCCATTCCCTTCACCAGTTTGGATACACGCAGCAGTGTTGGAAGACACATTTTTGATACTCAAGGACCGGATCTAAAAAGCCATTTAGTAACACTTGTAAAAACCAGCTCTTAGCATAAATACACAAATATTAACTCATGATGTCTCACTGATTCTTGGTATAAACCCACGCAGACAACTGTAGCTCTCCAGGGAGAGGACTTTGAACAACATGTTTAAATCATGGGAGTGATATCCACAGCTGCCAAAGGCTTTAAGACCATTTTCATCATTAATCAGGCATAACAGAAGGATCCACAGTGTCCTTGAAAATTGTTCTCCTGGTGTTGGTTTCAATATGAAATCATCTGATGGGCTGCATCCTCCAGTGGCTCCATAACTGTTCCTGTCTTTCAAAAGGCTTCACTGCCTCCAAGGACAGCAAAAACTCTTACTAATGGGAGAGAGTTTAATCAGTATATTCATAACAAACACAGCATTGTGGCTTTCACTTCTTGTTTTTTGTTGATTTTTAATTAATTTTGACATTTATATATAAAATAGTTGATTTTCAAAAGGCCACTTGGAAACCCTCTTGTGGATTACCTCATCTAAGCACATATTTTTTGTGTGCATATTTGTAATTGTTTGAAGGTTTTCCAAACATGTCCTAAAGCCTCGCTACAGTTTTAAAACACAGTTTGAAGAGATTTTGCTTATGAAATTTAAAAGAGAAAAAAAGAATTTTGCGCAATAATGCTGCTTGGCACTTTGTGATGGACACAAGAGGTTGAAAAAATACTTAGGCCTGCATTCCATGAAAGGTCACACAGATTTAAGGATAGAAATGCACATCTTTAGGGACACGCGTGTACAGTACACATGTTTTTGGGGGATAGATGTGATCTCCTTAAAAGCTGATTGCCTTTTATAGTTTCGAATTTGACTTTCCATAAGGAACGCAGAATTTCTAATGGTTTTAAAGCATCAATCCTTCCCTGAGAGGTTAGACAAAAAGAAAGCCTGCTCGCAAAGAAACCAAGGTCAGAAATGGTCTCATTTCAACGGAACAGAATCTAGCAGTAAAATTTCTGCTTTCCTCTTAAATATTACTCTTCCTTTCCTTCTCATGTGTCTACCATAGCTCTCGTCTCCCCAGAAGCTGTGATCTGCTGCCAAGATTTGTTCTGCTCTCTGTGTTATTTATGACCCTGTCGTGCAGTTTATTCATCCACACTTTCCCAGTGGCCAGGCTGAGGATACTGACGTACTGAAGTGCTGCTCACAGAGTGCAGGGAGCAGGCTCTGGAGGGACAAAGCACAGCCCTAGCTCTATTCAGGTGACAGCTAAGGTTAATCAAATGGTGGAATTATGGCAGTGAGTAAAGCAAGATGCTTTAATTAATCTTTGAAAGATCGGGATTAGAATTTCTTTGTCTTAAATATTTCTTTGCCGTACGCAGATGTTCCATCTTCTGAAAAAATATCCTATCAAAGTTATGTTCCCCTCTTTACCTTCTCATTTCTCCTTCAGGTCTTTCCATATGAGAAATGTCTCAGGCAGTTATATTTGCCAGAGGAAAAAAGAGTAATTTTTAGAAGCTACGTTCCAGAAGAGACTGTCCAAAACATTATCCAAAGACAGCAGATGTATGTACATCCTTTACAGTCTCACATTTCCACATCCCTAAACACCTATGAAACAACATGAAAAGAGTGAAGAGTCAGTCAGGAGAGAAATGCTCTGTGTAGGATTTACTTTCAGTGTTCCACGTGACATTTCTGATTATAAACTAATTGAAGAGACATTCTGTCAAAAACTTGCCCTTTATTTAATGTGGATATGATCTGCATTTTATACTAACGCGCTGTATGGAAAATATGAA